GATTGACGCAGAGGCAGCAACAATGGACTCTAACACAACAATTGTGGGAATTACATAGGACAGGGCAGTGGTTTTTTTATGTTGTGTATAGGGTCACTATGAGTTGGAATGGACTCAACATCGCTTAACAGCAACAGCAGCCAGTAGAATAAACCAAAGGTCTTTTGAGGCATTAATTCCAGCACTTGCAATTATTACAAGAAATCCAGACGCTGGAAAAGGATTGCTATAAATTACAGAAGTATCTAGAAATGCTTTAATCAGAGGTGCAATGAGGGGGCTGTAAGGAGTCCTGGTGTGGCCTTCTGGTATACAGCACTGGATTGTAAAGTTGGTTTGAACCACAAGGTCAGGCGGTTCAAACCTACCAGCTGCTCCTTGGGAATCCTAAACAGGGTCACTATGAGTTGGAACTGACTCGAAGGTACTTCACAACAACAAGGACACAACAGACGGTTTTCCTATGGTAACACTTAAGAAACTACCATGCACATTAGTGGAAACCCTTATAAATGTACAATTGTTACTGTTGCTACACTTTTTGCAATGACCCCACATAATAATAAATGCCTCTACTCCAGTACTAAAATGTCAAAAGCTGTGGACATTAATAATTGAGAACAGATGAATGAATCCAAAATCTTTTTTTATTTCCCTTGGCCCATTTGAAGATCTGCATCCTTTTCTGCTTAGCCCTAACACTCCTGTTAATTTGCTGAGTCAAGACCTTTTGTCTGAATGGGACTGCCATTTATAATTTTCAGAAAAAGGAGAAATATTATTAGCTTTACATTTATGTTGGGCATATGGATTCGCATCTGACTCACAGCAACCCTATATGAAAGAGTAGAACTGCCCATCTGGTTTCCCTGACTGGCATCTTTACAGGGGAGCCCTGATGGAACACTGGTTAAGCGTTTGACTTAAGGTCAGCTGCTTGGACCCACAAGTCAGGAGAAAGATGCGATAGTATGCTTCCATAAAGATTAGAGTGTTGGAAACCCATGATGGGGCCCTTGTGAGTTAGAACGGACTAGGTGGCAATGGGTTTGGTGTTTTGATTGTTTGTTTCTTTACAATCTTTATGGGAGAAGATTGCCAGGTTTTTTCTCCCACAGACTGATTGATAGGTTTCTACTTTTTCGGATTAAAAGCTGAGTGCTACCAACACTCCGTTTTCTCTGCCTTGGAGCTGCGCATTGTCTATTTGCCCATTTACAAACACAGCAAAGTTTCTCTTATGGACTCTGATCACAGAATGTGCTGTTACAGGTTTCATATATTCTGATCCTTACAAGAATTATCAGACACTTTAAAAAATAATTTTATTCTAAGAAATTAATCTTAACACTGAGATTATATTAGTAATATCTTAGTCTTTTAAAAAGAGATTCTAAAGTCTTAGAGTTATAAGGCAAAAAAGGAAATTAAAGGTATGCAAATTGGCAAAGAAGAAGTAAAAACTCTCTCTGTTTGCATGATCTGATCCTATATATATAGAAAATCCCAAAAACTTGCTGAGAAAAATTTTGGAACTCATTGACAGATTCAGTAAAGTGACAGGGTACAAAATTAATATTTTTAAAAAAGTCAGATTCCTATATACTCATAAAGGGAGCTTTGAAAAGGAAATCAGGAAAGCAACCTTTTACAGTGCTGAGTTGCTTAGTTCCATGAGTTGGTTCCAACTCATAGCAACTCTGTATAGGGTTTCTGAGGCTGTAAATCTCTTCAGGAGAAGAAAGCCCCATTTTTCTTCTAAGCTGCAACTGCTGGGCTCGAACTACTGACCTTGTGGTCCATTGTTTATCCTACAAAGCCACTGTAAATCCCCACCATTTACCATTGTTGTAAAGTGTCAGGGAGTTGGTTCCAACTCATAGTGACTCTATTTAGGGCATCCAAGGAGTAGCTGGTGGGTTTGAACCACTGACTTTTAGATTAATAGCCCAGTGCTTATCCTAAGTGGCACACCAGGACCCCATTT